TTATTACACATTTAGGAATAATTTGTTTCTTTGATACCACCATTACTTCGGTCTTCCCATTATTCAAACTGAGGCCCATTTTTCCACTTTCTAACACCAAAATGTCTATCATTTCCTGTAATCTTTCTGACTTGTTGCTATCAAGACTGTGTCGTCAGCATAACGTAAATTGTTTATATTGTGCCACCAACCACAATTCCGGGCATATCAATTAAAGATCTCATTATATATTCACTGTATATTGAAAACAAATCAGGTGGCAGTACACATCCTTGTCGTACGCCCCTCTTTATGCTTTGAAATGTACCTAAACAGTTGTTTATTCTTATAGCTGCTGTTTGCTGCCAATACATATTCTTTATTATTCGTAGATCTTTCCCATCAATGTTTAATTTTTCTAACAGTTTGATTACTTCTACATGCTTCACACAGTCAAATGCTTTTGTGTAGTCTATGAAGCATAAGTACAAATCAGTCTTTACTTCTATAGCTCTTTCTGACAATGTCCTTAGGATGTAAATGGCATTGTTTGTACCTTTTCCTTCTACATATCCATATTGTTCATCGCTGATTTCTGGTTTAAATTGGTTTCTTATTCTTCTCATAATTATTCTCAGTAAAATCTTGGTCATGTGACTCATAAGACTTATTGTGCGATGGTCTTCACATTTTAAAGTGTCTGGTGTCTTTGGCAGAGCTATAAATGTGGATTTTAAAAGGTCATGTGGAATATACCCACTATTATAAATATCATTTAAAAGTTTAGTTATTATTTCAATTCCAAAATCTATAAGTGCTTCGATTTCTTCCAGTGAGATGTTGTCTGGCCCGGGTGCTGTTCCTTTCTGCATATCATGTATTGCATCCTCAACTTCTGCAGTCATTATTGGTGGACCATCATTGTTGGTCTGCAGTTCTACATCTGGTCTATTATCATCATACAATTCGCCTATATACTCTGTCCATCTGTTAATTATATCACTATTCCCCATAAATAAGTCGCCATCTTTTGATTTTAAACATCCAGTGCTGTTACATGTCATCTTTCCTGTTAACATATTTATATGTTGGTACATGGAATGTGTCTTTTCTGTAATTTTCCCCAATCTCTGTACACATTTGATTCAGCCAGGCCTTTTTAGCCACTTTGCATTTGTTCACTATTTCTCTTTGTATTCTAGAGTATTCTTCTTTATCATTCTTTTTCTTCCTTCTTTCATCCATCAACTACAGAATTTCGGTTGACATCCATTTCTTTTTTGCAACTCTATGGGTTGGTGGGATTGTCTCTTTTGATGTTTGCTGAATTGACTCACGCAACATATCCCACTGTTCATCAATAGTCTGTATATATCTCATTTCACAGGTGTTAATTTTACGTAGGTCAGGCAAGTCTGGTACTGGTCACACAGTGTTGATATGAATATGCTGTTTATAATATGTTTTTTGGCGCTTAAACTTATGTTTGGATGTCTTCATAACGGTATCAGTTGGTATATAAGAGCACTGGCTCTGTGGCATCTTGCTTTTATTTCCCGATTTATTCTTTCTTTCTCAGAGTAAATACTTCCTAGACATTTAAATTCTTTACCTTGCTTCAGACAAGTACCATTTAATTTGTTTTGACTCCCATAAATCCAGGATACAGTTCCTCTAGTCCCCTAAGATTTAGGCTTTGTTTTTCTCTATTTTGTTTCTCCGTCTTTACATAGGACTTACTATTGATCTTGTCTCTTGTGCCAATCAGCTAGCAACATAAAGTAGCCAATATAATAATACATTAAATCTAGCCCCTTTGTATATTTATGTACTGCATTTTCAATCGAGGTTGAAATGCTACAGTGTAATTGTTTTATTAACACCCAGATAACAAGATAAGTCTATCTATTATCAAAAGTCAAGAAAGTGGGTGATCAAACAAATGCGTGCACTGCGTGTTGTCCGACCTAACCAAGATAATCACACAAGTGTGTCATAGTCACTACATTCATTCAATCATTCATTTATTCATTCACACCACTTTCTTGTCAACACATGAACACAAACTTGAAATCAACGCGAACACAACATTTATGTCTCATATTTCTCTTTCCCACTATTTTCTTACATTTTAAACATACCTGCCAGCCAATCCATCCATTCGCCCATCCATCCATTCAGCCATCCATCCACCCACCAATCAAGAAATCTATCTATCTGTCTGTCTATCCGTTTATATATTCTGCCTACCTACCTACCTACCTAACTACCTACCTATCTGTCTTCCCGTCTATCTAACCGTCCGGCCACCCGCCCACCCACCCACCCGTTTGTCTGTCTGTCTGTCTGCCTGTCTGTCTGTCTGCCTGTCTGTCTGTCTTCCCGTCTATCTGTCCGTCCGGCCACCCGCCCACCTGTTTGTCTGTCTGCCTGTCTCTGTCTGTCTGTCTGTCTGTCTGTCTGTCTGCCTGTCTGTCTGTCTTTCTTCCCGTCTATCTGTCCGTCCGGCCACCAGCCCACCCACCCACCCGTTTGTCTGCCTGTCTGTCTGTCTGCCTGTCTGTCTGTCTGTCTGTCTTCCCGTCTATCTGTTCGTCCGGCCACCCGCCCACCCACCCGTTTGTCTGTCTGTCTGTCTGTCTGTCTGTCTTCCCGTCTATCTGTTCGTCCGGCCACCCGCCCACCCACCCGTTTGTCTGTCTGTCTGTCTGTCTGTCCGTCTGTCTGTCTGTCTGCCTGTCTGTCTGCCTGTCTGTCTGCCTGTCTGTCTGTCTGTCTGTCTGTCTGCCTGTCTGTCTGTCTGTCTGTCTGTCTGTCTGTCTGTCTGTCTGTCTGTCTGTCTGTCTGTCTGTCTGTCTGTCTGTCTGTCTGTCTGTCTGTCTGTCTGTCTGCCTGTCTGTCTGCCTGCCTGCCTGTCTGCCTGCCTGCCTGCCTGTCTGCCTGCCTGTCTGCCTGCCTGTCTGCCTGCCTGCCTGCCTGCCTGCCTGCCTGCCTGTCTGTCTGTCTGTCTGCCTGCCTGCCTGCCTGCTATGGCTGTTTTTCGTTTTAATAAATATTAAGAAACCATGATTTATTTACCCTTTGGCACGGTACTTCAGAAATTGCAACAATTCGACCTTGATTCCGTAAATCTGGGAGAAATGTGGCTTTTTTGCCTACCCCTCGGGCGTGAACCCGGACCACAAGGAGCTCGTCACCCGTTTAACCAAATGAGCTAGCGAGCTAGGTGTCTGTCTGTTTTAAATATACCTGACTATAACCATTATTACTGAATAGAACCAGTATCGTTAGTGTTGTTATACATGGAAACGGTGATAAAGATTAAAACAAAATTAAAAGTTGATGACAAATTCGTGAAGGAATTTCATAAGACTGACGGCATCAGCAAGTTTTCAGCCGTAATGAAAGTGGGCTTTTTTTTGGAAGAAAATGCTAAAGTAAGCGTTCATCAATAAGGAGGAAATGGCAGGATACAAGTTAATAAGAGAGACTAACTTTGCTCTTTTGTGCCAATGCCAGAGGTGATCTGATGCCATGGCCAGAGGTGATCTGATGCCAAGGCCAGAGGTGATCTGATACTAAGGCCAGTGGTGATCTGATGCCAAGGCCAGAGGTGATATGATGCCAATGCCAGAGGTGATCTGATGCCAATGCCAGAGGTGATCTGATGACAAGGTCAGAGGTGTTCTGATGCCAAGGCCAGAGGTGATTTGATGTCAATGCCAGTGGTGATCTAATGTAAATGCCCGTGGTGATGTGATGCAAAAGCCAATGGTGATGTGAAGATAAAACCTCTGCTGGTTTATCCCTCTAAAAGTCCTCGTCTTTAAACAACAGAAAGTTAACAACAGAAATTAAACTTTATGAGGAAAAGTAACAGCCGAGCTTGAGTAACTAGACAATTCTTCTTTGAGTGGAGTTTTTTTTTTTACCCCACCGTGAAACGATATCTACAAGAAAAGGGTCTGCCCAAAAGAGTTCTTCTTACAATGGACAATGCGCCACTGGGAAAAAAAATGTGTATTTAAATTTTTCTTCAGATTCTGGTCTGGTCTGGTAGTCTTAGTTTCAGCTTCATAGCAAACGGGTTGCCCCATCTTTGCTCCGCTCCTGTGCCAGCGAAAAACACTCAGAATGTCTATCACAGTCCCTTGTGGAAAGATTGACAGACTGCTGTCTCAGCATATCTAGCATACACTCGCATTAAAGCATATGGTAGCCATCCGAAGTGCTAACACAAACAGTCCAACATTAGAAATGCAGTTCATCATTGATGATAGCAGAACTTGTCGTCAACAGATCAGCAGTTGTCCGCGTGATCAATTTTAATACGGGTCCCGCAAGCATTGAACGACAGGCATCGCGCCATTTTCTGAATCTACAATTCACACCACCACGTTGGTCACAGTCGAAAAAAAAACATTCCAAATGCAATCCGCAGCTCACAGGGTCACGCCATGCATTCAACTCAGAAGCTGGGCGACGAAACTATATCCAGTCTACAAATGGAGCAAAAATGCATCGGCCACCGTCCGGCAGAAGCAAAAAATTTGCCTCTGTTCCGAACGGCGCCGCTGTCTAGCGTCCATTTTAACCGGAAGTCTTTTCTTCAGAGAAAGGAGTTAACGCTGACTGATTTTCCGTCAGATATGAAGGAAAACTTGGTTTCGAGATACGAACTTTATGAGATGCGAACCACGCCAGGAACGAATTAAGTTCGTATGCCGAGGTATAACTGTATGAAGTGTTTCACTAGCTGGTGTAGTTTTCATTTTACGCGAATGACCTTGTTTGTACCCTCGACTAAAGTTGCTTAGCTTGATAAGAACTCCGCTTTCATTCCTAACAGTTGTATAGAGAATGCGCTTATACATAGTCTTCTTAAGTTACATAGAGGGCACGACTACTGGTGATTGAAGGCTAAGCGGTGTAAACGACGCGAATAGGCAATAGTTATGTGTGTTTTTTAATTACAATAAAATAAGTATCTTATATAGAGTTAAACAAGGACGCAAACTTACCAAGGATTTTACTGAGTTCAGCGTTGTGGATATCAGGGTTGGCTACCGCTAGCCTTTTCCTCTCATCTTTGGCCCAAACCATGAAGGCATTCATGGGACGCCTGATACGGACACGGGTAATCTCCTTACGTCCATAGCCTCGGAGGTGAAATACTGGACCAGGCGGTTCATCAGAAAGATAAGGAAGCTGGAACATTTCGGATCCAACATGACTGAATGTACTGGCACTGTGAATGCAACTGTGAGTTGTTTGTTGGCAGTTAGGAAATGTGAAATCAGTTTCGCCGATGTCAGTCTTTGTTTGCATTTTTGCTGTTCAAATACCGAACTTGGTAAACAGTTCTTAACAGCTGAACGAATAATAATAATAATGACGATGGGCCCAGCAAGGCAGCACTAAACAGAAAGCACCAGGACAGAAAGTTATTTGTCAAAGGCGTGTATTTTCCATGTCAATATACAAGTGACATAGGATGTGGACAGCAGGCCGTGTACAATTTTACGCCATTATTACTTTGTGTTTTTGCTCTAGTGGTCTGATGCACACAAATGACGCTGCTCGTGACCTGCACTGCACTTTCAAGTGTTAATGATCTTCCGAAATCAAGTAGGAAGTTCTGGAATGCCCACGACTTTCGGAAAATCCATTTTGATAAAGCGACACTTTCCTTTTTGTACAAAAATGCGCTCCCACGCACACATGTACAAAATACTGAACATCAAGATTTGCATCATTTACGTTTTGTCTTCAAAATTCCATTCTAGCATTAGCTCTGGGAAGTTTGATTTAGACTAACAACACACCCACCACACACTGACGCTAAAACGCGACTATAACGTGTGTGTACTGTGTAATGCAGTTCCGGGCAGTTAATTGAAAAACCTCAGGATATTACTGGCAGCCAATTGGCGGAACGGCTACCTAAGATTCGTGACTGCAGGGGGCGGTTCTATTCTCACTAGCAATAGTCTCAAAACTGTGTTGGCGACAGACGTTTCTCTCCCAAGTCTTTCGGTTTCTTAAGAACGTCAGCCATGCGACCATAAAGCTTCCTTCTTAACCTACGAAAGTAATCTCTTTGAGAAGTAGGACTTCCCTTTTCGCCACTCACAACAGTAATACTGACTAATAAAGGCCATACCTGCTTCTTTTACTGAAATAGCAAATCATAATGCACCTACAGCCAGTCATCACGGGCAGCTAAACGGCCACTTACTTCTGCTGTCTTTCCTTCTCGGTCTCTATGATATATGCTAGTGAGCTTATGCTGTTGTCTGGCACTACCAATAACTTACAGAAAAGAAAGAAGGCACAGTTCTCTAATTATTTGCAATCAAAGCTTGTTTATAAATGCTGTTTGCATCTTTTTTTTTTTTCTACCGAAACTAAATGCTTCAGTTGGCATACACTTACTGTGTATTTCCTATCTACCGAAACTAAACGCTTCAGTTGGCATACACTTACTGTGTATTTCCTATCTACCGAAACTAAATGCTTCAGCTGGCATACACTTACAGTGTATTTCCAATGATAGTGTATGTGCAATGCTTTTGGTTGTACTTCAAGCTTAGTGGTAAATCCATTATTTCATAGAGCTAGCAGGAAACATGTAGTGACGTGGTCTTGACGGCAAGATTTAACGAAACTACATGTACATTATCATTTACATACTACAATGAGAATCTGTGAGATACCTAACATAAACTGGCACATGACTGTTTATTTTTGTCCAATCTTGATATTATCCACGTCTTAACAAGAAACGATCCCAAATCGCAACTTTTCAAGGCTCTACTTATACGTAGGCTTTAGTTAATTTTAGCCTTATCTCTAGCCAATGATCAAGTAAACAACAATCGTATTCATTATTTGCTGAAGTTTGATTGGAGGATATAATAATTTGTATCTTTTTTGGTGCTTTCTTAATATCCTACCTCAAACAGGGGAAATCAACAGGTCACGGAACAGATTGTGGTAGATAGGCTGTATGCCGTCGTGGGAACCACCCTCTAAAATATTGGACTGTCATGTGACGTCATCTGGGGGTAGGATATTACGAAAGAACCCATTTTTTCTAAATATAAGCATGACAGAGACAACTACAAGGGGCAGTTTATGGCCATGAACAGAAAAAGATGTGATAAAACCACTTTTCGTGTCAGCTGCGAACTAACGTCAAGTCGGGAAGCCTGCTAAATTCAACACTATGTTTATCTCCAGACAGACAGACAGACAGACAGACAGACAGACAGACAGACAGACAGACAGACAGACAGACAGACAGACAGACAGACAGACAGACAGACAGACAGACAGACAGACAGACAGACAGACAGACAGACAGACAGACAGACAGACAGACAGACAGACAGACAGACAGACAGACAGACAGACAGACAGACAGACAGACAGACAGACAGACAGACAGACAGACAGACAGACAGACAGACAGACAGACAGACAGACAGACAGACAGACAGACAGACGCCTCTATCGACACATTCACGGAATATTTCTATTGGCCGACTGCAGGCAAGAGAAAGTCAAAATCAGGTTGCCAGGCATCTAAACGTGCATTAGAGTACCACCATTTGACCGGTTCCAAGCCACTGGTTTAGTTGAAGATCGAAAACACAGTGGACGACCTATAGTGACAACAGCAGCGGAGAATCGCTTTATTTAGCTTCCTCAACTGCGCAGACATTGGCTGGAGGATGTCATGTGTCTGATCAAACAGTTCTGAACAGATTGCACGACGTTGGACTTTCGGCACTACGACAGCACCGAGGACCTTTCCTTACGCATCGTCATCGTCAAAATCGACTTCTTTGGACCAACCAGCATCGTTTCGGGGCAAGTGACAATCAGTGAAAAGTGCCTGGTTAGGTGACGAATTTTTCTTTTTGTTGATAGACGGCGTAGGGTCTACCATAGACGAAATGAAGGTTTAGCCCAAAATTGTGTTGTTGTAGCTCTGCTGTACGGTGGTGGAGGTGTAATGAGCAGTTACAATAGAAGGAAGCTTGAATGCGCGACGATACGTCAGTTAAATTCTTCGACCACATGTCCTTCCATTTTTGAATGCCAACAGATATCTTTTTTAACAGGACAACGCCAGACCCCATTCTGCACAGCTGACCATGCAGTTACTGGCTGCCAATTACATTCAAAACCTTCCCTGGTTATCCTTGTCTGTAGACATGAGTCGAATTAAGCACTTGCAGGATGAGCTGCAAAGACGTGTTTGTCGATGAGAGCTTGTTCTAGCCAATCGTCGTGATCTGTTCATGCACTCCAACAAGAGTGGGCAGCTACCCCACAGGCCCACATCAGACATATGATCGCATCCAAGCCCGGGATATACCAGTCACTGATCCACACAAGAGGAGGGCACACACATCATCACTAAAAGGAAAGGCCTCCGCCTAAAAATTATCGTGACCTAGATGAAACAAAATAAAAGTTGTCACTGATGGGCGTAACCCAAAGATATTCTTGAGTGAAATTTGAGTAATTTCACTCATTGCATTACAAAGATGTATCATGTCAAAATTGTGAGTATGTATGTTCCTTTCAGTAACTATGCCTTTTTTCATTATACATAGGCGAGATCCTGACCATACCAGTCATTGAGTGCCAGTCGGTCTAAAATCATAGGACTAACACTTCTACAAATGTAACTCATTGTGAGAGCAATAGCACTTTACTATTTTATCCTTGTGTATGTGCGTGTGTATGTATGTTTGTGTGTGTGTTTGTGTGTGTTTGTATGTGTGTGTGTGTGTGTGTGTGGTGTAAGAGACTGCATACCTTCAGCTGTTTCATCACTAATTATAAAAATCTTCATCTCCTGTTCCCCTCTCCTCCCCTTTTCTCCTCTCCCCATCATCTTCTTCCTCTTCTTTCTCCCCTCCTTTTTTTTTGTTCTTCTTTTTCTTCTTCTTATTATTATTATTATTATTTATTATTATTATTATTATTATCATTATTATTATTATTATTTCACAGGTTCATCCTCCCTTCTTTTTCTTCTTCTCATCTCCTTCATCCTTGTCTTCTTTTCTCATCTTTCTAGTGAATTTTTTTTTTGTTGTTGAGATATTAAAATGCCGTTAATCTCAGTAGAATCAGAGAGATCACAATTTTAGCAATCTGATTTATTGGAAAAATCTTAATAACGACACCAAAGATCAGAGCTAATTCAAGGCAACTACCTCTGCAAACTAGTTTCACTAAATTGTATTGCTTCGTTGGCTATCCCCACGTAAACGACTGTCATGTATCCAACCGGCTACCCTTTTTATGACTTACACACAGTAAAGTTTACCAGCAACAATAGACAGTAACGAACTTGATAATAGAGGACTTGCGCAATGACTTGCACTCTATGTTGACCCTAGTTAGGACGCCGAGTGCTTGTCCTTAAACACACGCACACGCATACACACAGACATGTTGATACGGGGCCCAGAATGGGTGGAAGTTCAGGAGATATCATGGCAAACAGATTGCAAATCTTCCCAAACAGAGTTAGCCACGCCCATTTACACACTAGGTCACTTTTCATTCATAGTTTGTTAGTGTCGCAAACTTTCGTGCAGGTTGCGGGGGTGTCCTACTGTCACTCTCTGGGGGGGGGGGGGGGTGTTTAGTGTTAGACCCAGTATCTAAATGTTTTCGAAGTGTTAAAAGCTCTGGCATGGTGTAATATACAAGACGCGGTATCAGCGCGAGTGCGTATGTCCCCGTGACCTTGTGTAAAAGTTGGATAGCTTAAGGCCGATTTTTCAGAAGTGAGGTGGTCAGTAGGTCGTCCAGTCAGAAGCGAGCTAGGGTGTAGCGGTGTGTAAATGGGGAGACCAGCGTAAAATTTACCGGAGCGTTAAAAGCGTTAACGTGCTGAAATATACAACACGCGATATCAACAGTATCGCAGAACACCCCCGTAACGTTCCGTAATGTTGACGAGGCTGGGCTACTACTAATCAAAAGTGACCTAGTGTGTAAATAGGGCTATATCAGGTTTTTTTTTTTTGGGGGGGGGGGGGGATTTGCGAAATGTTTAGCGAATATCATGTATGCTCTATAAATGGAACATATACGTTCATTATGTATCGCTGGCCAATATGAATGTAACTGCATAATCCCTTAACATTAACACTTAATAACGCCGAGGTGGGGTTATTATAAACACATTAATGAAGAATAAAAGGGGCTGCAGGGAACAAGATTAAAGACATCTAATTAGTAAAATACCAATTAATCTTCGAAACAACAGATTTGCATATTGCAGACGAATAACGACA